CAACTTAGGGATGTAACCCTATCATAAGTCAAGGTGCATGTTGTAGACAAGTGAATCTTGTCTTTTATGTACTCACGAATCAGTCCCACTAAATCTATATGTTTAGTCTGCATCAATATCACATGTTTTAGAGTTATAATAGCTTTAGAATGTATTTTGTTATCTAGGAGAGCAAATCTCTTGTTCTTCTTTCTCAAAACTAATTAAGCTATTCTTGAACACTTATTTTTGTTACAAATTTTAAAATTATGTTTTTGAATTATACAAGAATCCTTTAGTTATAATACCATATTCAGTAAGTAATTTGGAGAGGACCGACATTTTTACAATATTGAACAGTACTATCCAACATTTGTTTATTTATATTGTCTGTTATGTCCTTAATAAAATTTGATAGTTTTCTTTACAATGTACATTTCTCATCATTTTATTGTTGAGTATTTTATTTCTATTATGAATCCTTTTCCAATTACATATTCTACTGAATTTGTGCCAATGATTAGAATATCTATTTATTTTGATAAATATACTTTTAAAAATACATTTTATCAAAGCAATATATGCACATATTTTGAAAAAAATCAAACAGTACACAAGGGCATAATAATTCTTTTTCATTTCTCAGTTCACTAACCCAGACCAAAAAGTTTTACATGTGTTTGTTTTTAGTTATTCCGGTAGTTGCCTACATTTTTAAAAAACATGTTCTTCTTACTTTTTCTTGACTTGATGACTGGGGGTACTTTTTGTTGACTCCCTGTTGTCTCTGGCTTTCCTCGCCACTCAATTTGGCTATATCACATTTTTACCTCCTTTTTTGGTGACCTTGGTTACTTTCATAATCTAATACCCAAGGCTGGGCGTGGTGGCTCATGCCTATAATCCCAGTACTTTGGGAGGCCGAGGAGGGCGGATCATGAGGTCAGGAGTTCGAGACCAGCCTAGCCAACATGGTGAAACCCCGTCTCTACTAAAAATACAAAAATTTGCTGGGTGTGGTGGCACGCGCTTGTAATCCCAGCTACTCAGGAGGCTGAGGAAGGAGAATTGCTTGAACCTGGGAGGCTGAGGTTGCAGTGAGCCGAGATTGAGCTACTGCACTCCAGCCTGGGCAACAGGACGAGACTCAGTCTCAAAACAAAACAAAACAAAACAAAACAAAAACTAATACCTAAACCTCTGACTAATTAAACTAAAGATAAAATTCTCCATATTCTATTTCATGAAGAAAATAGCACCGCCACTATTCCATGTACATTTCCTTCCCTCTCTGCCTTCCAACCTGTTAACTGTACTTGTACATTTTCAAGGCTGCTAACATTTGCATCATATTTGGTAATCATAATTCATTCTTCCCTGTTTTGTCCAAGGATTGACTCTAAAAGCTGAAAACCAATATTTATATCATCATGACTATTTAAATACTATCCACTGAAAAACAAAGTTTTATGCTACAATTAGATTTTCTCATCTATTTCTTTAAAGCCTTGACCCACACGACAATGTTCAAAGGAATTCCCTTTCTCACAGTCCTAGCAACTGTCCAAAATCATGCCACATCTGAGGGTGCTTTATATTTGAAGCATGCTTTCTTATAAAGTTTGAAATGTTTCTTTCTCCCTTTTCTGATTGTCATTGTTTTGTTTTTGGTGGGGGGGTGGCGCAGATGAAGAAATGTATGCTTTCTATGTATACATCATGTCCTTAATTTCTTTCAGCTTCTTACTCAATCTATCTATTACTTAAAATTCATTTCATTTAGTTTGAGGTCTACACACTTCCTATTCTAATTTGGAGGATCTGCCTCTCATTTGGACCATTCTTATACAATTTATCTTTCTTTAAGTTTTTTGTGGCATTCTTCTTATGAAATATTTATTTTATTAAATGTAAGAGTTATTTTTAATGCATCTAGTACCTATCTACATTTTGCAAAGTTAATGCTGCTTTTGTTTTATGGATGCAATAGTTTCTTAAATATTTCTGAGAATTTTAATGTTTTTAGGTTTGGTTCTGTTCCTTGAGTTTCATATGACCTCAAGAGTCTATTTCTCATGTTATCTTAGATCTTTTTGGTCATATTGCAGGCTTTTAGCAAGTGGTGATTTTTAGCCAGACAGGTCTACAGGCAGGGCTGGTCACTACACTCCAGGGTGGGTGAGCCAGTACATGGGAATCAGCCATCTTGCCAGGCCCCCAGAGGACACAAAGGTAGTAGTGGCTCTAAATATGTATGTGTAGGCAGACACTGAACATCAAAGTAGGGGAAGTCTATGATCAGTTACCATGCCACATGGAAAAAGTGGGAGCAGTATACACCTGAACCCTTGCTGAAGAGTCCTTCCCTAACCAGCCTTTCTTTCTTTTCTTTTCTTTTCTTTTCTTTTTTTTTTTTTTTCCAGACAGGGTCTCACTCTGTTGCCCAGGCTGGAGTGTAGTGGTGGGATCTTGGCTCACTGCTGCAACCTCCGCCTCCTGGGTTCAAGTGATTCTCATGCCTCAGCCTCCCGAGTGACTGGGATTACAGGCAGGCGTCACCATGCCTGGCTCATTTTTATATTTTTTGGTAGAGGCAGGGTTTCACCACATTGGCCAGGCTCCTAACCAGCCTTTCTAAAGTGGCTGGTCTAAAGTAGCCCTCACTTATTCTCACTCTCAACAGCCCTTGTATTTTCTTCATAAAAGGAATTGATAATGTATTTCTTATTCACTTCTTCATTTGGTTATAGTTTGCCTGTGACACTACTGTACAAATAAATTCTATGAATGCAAAGCCTTTGTCTATCTTGTTCACTGCTATATCCACAAAACACATACCAGTCAATCAATATTTCTTGAAAAAGGTATGAACACTTACATATTCCTCAGAACCAATTCCACTAACAAATCTCAATTCTATACTACAATAAAAGAAAATTAGAATTAGCATAAGAGATGTAAATAACATAATATCCTAATGATATATTTAGGGTAATCAATTTTATATGATTGTAACTTGCAAAATGCTAATTTCATTTTATTTTTACTGTCCTAATACACACATATATACACACAAACAAAGTCAAGTATACAACCACATTATTCAGAGGGTAATACAATATTTATGCCTTTCTTTTTTGTTTTTGAGATGGAGGCTCGCTCTGTTGCCCAGGCTGGAGTACAGTGGCATGATCTCAGCTCACTGCAACCTCCGCCTCCTGGGTTCAAGTGATTCTCCTGCCCCAGCCTCTGGAGTAGCTGGGATTACAGGCATGCGCCACCATGCCCAGCAAATTTTTGTATTTTCAGTAGAGACAGGGTATCACCATGTTGGCCAGGCTGGTCTCAAACTCCTGGCCTTGTGATCCGCCCGCCTTGGCCTCCCAAAGTGCTGGGATTATAGGTGTGAGCCACCGCGCCCGGCCACTTTTCTAATTTATGAATATCACACTAGTGCAACAGAAGTTGTCAAAAATAATTCCAATGAAGTCATTCAATCACATCCTTAAGATTCATAGATAAAACAATTTCTATTTAATTAGTCAACAGCAAAATCCTTGCTAATCGAATGTGAACCTCAAAGATGCAAGCCCAACACAGTCAGTAGTGCAGAGCCAGGTCTGTGATCTAGATCTTCCCTCTCCTGATTCAAGGAAAACACATCTTCCTGGACCTGAGATAGCAACAATCTGCTGCTCACCAAAGTCGGCCCTCTTCTTTGCCTACTGTAACAGTTAATATTGAGTGTCAACTTGATTGAAGGTTGTAAAGTATTGTTCTTGGGTGTGTCTGTGACATTGTTGCCAAAGGAGATTAACCTTTTGAGTCAGTGGAGTGGGAGAAGCAGACCCACCCTCAATCTGGGTAGGCATCATCTAATCAGCTGCCAGCACAGCTAGAATAAAGCAGGCAGAAGAATGTGGAACGAGCAGACTTGCTGAGTTTTCCAGCCTCGTATTTCTCCTATGCTGGATGCTGCCTGCCCTTGAACATTAGACTCGGAATTCTTCAGCTTTTGGACTCCTGGACTTACACCAGTGGTTTGCTAGAGGCTCTCTGGCCTTTGGCCACAGACTGAAGGCTACACTGTCAGCTTCCCTACTTTTGAGGTTTTGGGACTCAGACTGGCTTCCTTGCTCCTCATATTGCAGACGGCCTATTCTGGATGTCACCTTGTGATTATGTGAGTCGATACCCCTTAATAAACTCCCCTTCACATATACATCTATCCTATTAGTTCTGTCCCTCTAGAGAACCCTAACACACTCACCCAGTAGGAGTTGATGTCTCCTAGAATTCTAGAGCCTCCTATATGTGTAGCAATTCTCCAGGCTCAGCAACCCAAGTAGCTGGGACTACAGGCATGCGTCACTATGTGTGGCTAATTTTTGTATTTTTAGTAGACACGGGGTTTCACCATGTTGCCCAGGCTGGTCTCGATCTCCTGAGCTCCAGAAATCTGCCCACCTCAGCCTCCCAAAGTGCTGGGACTACAGGCATGAGCCACTGCGCCCAGCCTGTCTTTATTCTTATGGCTTCAAAATCTTCACAAGCAACATACATCTTCTGAGATCCAAGCCTCTCTTTCTAATTAATTAACTGATATCTTCAAATGTAAGTTGAACTTAGTAACATTCATCTTTGTCTCCTGAACTAGTTCTTTCAATAAGCTATATGGAACCAGCATCTTCCTAATCAACCAAGCCAAGTGCCAGGAAGTTACACTCTTTCCTGCCCCCACACCTTCCTAGCCAACCAGTCAAGCCCTATGGAGTTCATCGCCTTAATATTTCTCATGTATCTCTCCATTCCTCCATCCCTCTTCCAGCCATTCAAAGTTATCTAGCACCTGGCTCATTATTTAACAACAGTAATAGAAGAGGATTTCAATTTGGAGTTTACACTAATGTATATAAAATGGCAAACTGTATAAGTAAACTAATCCTATCACTCAGAGAAAAACTGCAAACTCAGTGGAAAATTCTTTCCTTCAAGTTAATAAAAAAATGTAAGGGACTTACTTAAATGGTGTAAACAAAAATGGTAAAGTAACTTCTTTTTTCTGAGTCATTTTCACCTGGGAACCAAGTATGAAAATATTACAAATGAGAAAAAAAATGAATTTCATTTTGAAATATAAACATCCATTAAAATGATTCTTTAGGGATGGTTAACCACTTTGAAAATAAATGGAATTTTATGTTACTATATTGTTTCATAAATATTTAAAGAAAAATTTAACATTTTCTTACTATCTCAATAAGCTGAGAATTAAACATATCAATCTTGCAAAATAACATACTGTAATTAAAACTGTACTTCCTTAACTCTGAAAATAAAACAAGCCAAACTACTTATTCTTAAAAGCGTTAAGAATAACAGAAGGTTTTAGTCAAAGAGTCACCTCTTTAAACTCTTAACGGATCTCATAACGTACATGGAATGACAAGAAATGTTGCAATCTCATTATAATAAGACTTCTATGGGGCAAATTCTAATAGTTAAAGAATTGACTTGCAGTCGTTGTAAGCATACGTGGTAATCTTACATTCAGTCATTCCCCTCAAAGATAATTTGATGCCCTCAGACTGAGCCATAGAACCTACACTTCAGAAATGTGAAACAAGTCAAATACGTAAGATTTAAGGGTAAATTACAGGGAAATAGTTAAAAAACAAAATCAAGTATTTCCCCTTAATATATTCAATATTTAAATTGTAGTACTGTCCATTTTTGTGTGTGCCTTTTTAAATTTTTTTTACCTTGAACTGTTCAAGAATCTGTACTGCATTTGTAAACATGCTCTCTGCTTTGAAGAGATCAGTGTTGTTAAGATAATCCACAGGAAGGATTCCCTGCAAATAACAAACACCAGCTTATTGATAGTATTCAGACAGCTCAGGCTATTCTTATAAAACAAAACAGACTGAAAAGCAATAAAGATAAGGCATATGGACAAATAAATAATTGAAATAGTTAAATGAAAAATCTTTTTAAAACTATAACTGAAAAATGTTCTATTATTTTTCTCATAAAGTAGATGTATTAAGATAAGCAAAGCAAGAGATGAATTAAATTCACTAACACCTGGCATTGGCTGAGAGATAACTATGTTCTAGGAAGTGAACTGAGTGCTTCACACACAAAAAACAATTACTATGGTAGGCCACAGCCAGCATACTTAAAATGAAAGACTTCAGACATATCAGGGTGTACCGTACATAATAAGAGTAAGGACTATTCTGTTAAACTTTTGTTTCATTATACACATACACAAACACTATGACTGTTGGGGTCATATTACTCAGCATTCTGGGTTAAATAACATTATTTTTTAAGAGTACATTTGATTTTGAAGAGCTAATAAGAGTGGCTGGTTGAAATAGTTATTTTCGGCATTTCGGTATCCAGGGCCCATTCTTAACAGCATTACTATTTTCTGTTGAGAAGTCTTGCCCATTAGATACAGCATGTTAGGTTTATAATCCAGGGACCTGCTGATTGTAACCCAGGCTAGATCATCTGGAATTTGACTCCTGATAGTCAAGGGATATAAACTAAGGTATAATGCTACTCTACCCTCATGTCAGTGCCCTGAGAACAGCTCTGCTATGGGATCATGGCTGTGGTTCCTTCTTCCAAGTCTCCAGATATCCTGGTTCCAGGTTATTCCAAGCCTGGTTTTCAAGCATCACTTTGTTTCAGCAAATCACCAATATCTTTTCAATAACTACCCTTTAAACGAAGTCAGTTTTTGCTGCTTGTAAAAAAAAAAATTACTTACACATTTCTATCACTTATAACCAGAATACAAATATATAAATCATACACATTTTAGAAAATTAAAGTATTTAAAGAAAAGCTATTTGGCTCATGTTCCATGTTACAGAATATAATACACAAGCAATTATAAGGTACTGCATATTTAGAAATAAATATACAGGAATATATAGTTATAAATGTAATCAAAGATCATATAAGCTGGAAGCAGTGCCTGTAATCCCAGACACTTGGGAGGCTGAGATGGGAGGACTGCTTGAGCCCAGAAGTTCAAGACTAGCCTGGGCAACACAGCAAGACTCCGTCTAAAAAAAAAAAAGAAAAAAAAGACCCCCAGATTATTCAGAAACACATAAAAAAGAGTAAATTTTACTGTGCAATAGTTTTTTTTATACTGAGAGTTGATAATAAAATTTTATTCCTTACCACTGAGTTAAGAGGAAAGGGAACTCCAATAAGAGAAGTCATCAATGGTGCAATATCAGCCTACAAATAAAAAAGCTCAATTCTAAGAGGTCTATGGACATCAACAAAGAAATTAAATAATGTAATACAACCATATTTTGGAATATAACCATGATATTTGTTATAATCAGTTACCTTCAAACATGTATTTAATACAAAAAGATATTAATCTCTCAAAGTGTCATTTGCTAGACATATATGAACCTATAAAAAAAAATTTCAAAAGAAACCAGTAAAAGCCCTAAATGTAAAACATACTAAAACAAAAAATTACTTATCCTATTAGCTAAGAATTTGACCATTTTATGTAACAGTTTTTCAGTATTATACAAGGATGCCTTATTTAGACCTAAAATGAATATCAAGAGTAGACTTTAACTGGAGAAATGTATATATTAACTAGAAAAACAAAGTATCATAAGGATACTTTGACCAGCCAGTGATGTTCAGAAAAGACATAAACCAGAGAAGAGGCTCTTTAGTCAAAAGATCCCAAATACCATTTTGGATATCTCCTCTTCAAGGTCATTTTCTCGGAAGACTTGTTCATCTTTTTTCTATCTTCACTTCCTCACCTTCCCATCACTCTTCTGCCCACTGTGGCTCACTCTGACCTTTTATCATTCCATAGACTGCTCTCTCTAAGAGAGCTAACCACCCATTTTCTAAATCTAATTGACTACGTTTATATAAGTCCTTATAATTTTTCAGGCAATGAAGTATTCGGAATTGAGAACGCCCAGCTTCAAATTTTCAGGCAGGTTTTTTAACCCTCCAATTGCTCGATTTCTTTATCAGTTAAAAAAATAAATACAAGTTTTTCCCTTAAAGAGGTATGACAGGATTAAATGAGATAAAACTTATAAAGTATTCGGCACATAATAAGCCTGTGACAATGACAGCTACAAGTGTTGCTGGCATTACTAGACCTTTCAGCAGTATGGCATAGGCCACTCCTTTCTTGGCTTCAACACCACACAGCTGAGTTTCTTCTCTCTCACTGGCTCCTCCTTTTCAGATACCTTCACTACTCCCTCACTTAAAGTTGGAATTCATCAAGTTTGTTCCCAGGCTCTCAATCTTTCTCACTTGCTACTATTTAGACTGTCCTCCAGGTGCCCTCCTGCAGAAAACTGGAAATCTCCAAAGTCTTTCTAGTCGCCTTTTCCTTTTCCCTCAGAATCCACTGTCAGCCACCTCTAATCTCTTCTCCACGCCGCAGCCAGGGGGATTCTTCCACACACAAAAAACCACATCGTGTCACTCTCTAGGCTTCAAACTCTTCAAGGATTCTTTGAACTTTCAGAATTAAGTTCACAAGGCCCATGAGACCCTGAAGGGTCTGTGCGTCCCTTCTTCTGCCTCACGCCACCCCATGGCTTCTATTGCGGTATAACGGCTTTCTTCAAGACCCTTTAATACACCATGTAACCTCTCACCAGAACTTAGTGTATGCATTTCCTCTGCCTGAAAAGCCCTCCTCCTACTGCCTTGGCCTGCTAATTTCTGCTTATTCATGAATCTTAGCTCAATCCTCGACTTCTCAGGAAGACTTTGCTGACCACAGTCTATCACATACATCCACTCTACAGTCTCACTGCTGCACAAATCTCTTTTGTAGTAGTTACCACAGCTTCAAGTTTACATGTATTTGTACAACAGACTGATGAGTATCTGTTCTTACCCCTAAGGTATAAATTTCCCAGGACGGGGATTAAGTCTGCCTTCTCACCACTAAATACTTACACTTAGTACAAAGTTGAAACACACCACAGACACATCACAGTGTTAGTAGAAGGAATGAATAGAAGAAGAGATTCCCATTTGATGGAGATCTGAAGCAGGAATGTTCGCCAACAGACTGACAATTCAGAGAGCAGTAACTGAATCTATGTTAAATTGCTGATTATGATCTGGTCTGGCTATGAATACGAGATGTTCTTGTTTGTGATCTTCAAGTCATTCCTGTCTTTTTTGACAGTGATTTTTAATTGCAAATTAATAAATTGCTATTCTGACTTAATATGTTCATGTTCATTTACTTGGGTAGTATGCATCTATCCTGGGAGAAGACTATTCTTATTATGCTGGGAAGAAACAAGTTTCTACAACCACAGGTCTGAAAGTGAGACCCTGGACCTTGATTTGTCCATCACAGTAAGTAATCTCAGCTTGTGTGGTGACCTGGAAGGCAAGATACTCCTGCCACTTTGGAAGCCATATCCCAATGATGCTATACCTTCTATAAATAGCGAAAATGGCTATTAAAGTAGCATGTTTTTAACAATGACAATTATGTGCTTCGTATTTACAGACCATGCTACTAGTCTAACTTTATCAGACTGGCTATACATTTTCCTCTAACAGAAAGTTTCTAGCTGAGTAATTTATAATCTCATCACTTTTTTCCCATTGCATTTGTAAGGTTGCTGGTTAGAAGTAAAGGTAAAATATGTGTTAACAAAAAGAAAATGTAACTGATATACTATAGGAAAGGAACCCATAACAGAAATTTTAATAGATCTGTGCTTAAATTAAGCAATACAATCATGAAAAGCAATCACAGAAATTTAACAGGCATGCGAACTTCAATTTACATAACAAATAATTATCCAGCGTTATTTGGAAAAAGTCTTTTATTTTCACTTGAAGTTGCGTTTGTTTTGCCACAAGACAGATTAGTTGAGCTAAAATATTTGCACTAAAAGAATTCCCCTTAGTAACTGAAATGTTTTGAAAAAGAATTTGTCAATATTATCTATTTTTTATAGTTTTTTACTAACCTCCTTATAGAAGATAAAATTAAATTTGAATGTAATAAAATCAAAATGGATACCTGATTGACATCTAGCCTCTTCCAGTTCTCCAATCTCCACTCTGAAAGATAAAATCAGACACAAGATCTGATGTTAAGATTTAAAAAAGAATAAATCATTTGATTTTTAGGAGTGCCCAATACTTATGGAAAACATAGGTATTAGAAATGTCTATTTTAAGCCAACTATGAATAAAAATCATGCTTAAAGGCAAAGGTATATTTTTTTAAATAATTTTTTAAAAAGTAAATATTTGGTGTTTCCTGTGATGATTTATTAAGCTTCTTAAATGCTCTTTGGGAGATAATTGTTTCAAAATATCAGAGGCTGAGGAAGGAAAGATGGAAGTGAAAAAGCACAATGGTAACAACTGTCAGCATTGAAAACTCATTACAATCCTGTTTGAGAGAGTATTAAGGCAACTGATAGGAAGTTAATTAATTCAAGCTTCTCTTTTTTTCTGTGATGGCAGTTGCTCCCAAAACACTTAAAACTGTAGTTGTGATATTCCTGTAGTCACTAATCACAAATGTTAACATAGTATATTGAGTTATTATTAAAATTGCCTTCAAAGATAGGCTCATTCTTCCATTTTGCTACACATAAATTCGGAAATTGCATCAAACAGAAATCGAAACAAGTGATTATGAGAGACCAAGTTTTGATTTAATGGCTTTAGGATATACTGCCAAAAGCGTTATAAGATATTGTATAATAAAATTTCATTCAATAAGCTAATTAAAGTTTAAAAATATGTTTCTGACTCTACTAGTCAACTGCCAAAAATTCACAATAATCAGTTGATGAAAAAGTGCACATTCCTTCTCTCTAAAATGTATATTTAATATTCATATGAGAAAAAATGCATTTATTTTGTGACAATTCTTGAAATCATGTGATTCTAAAACATCAATTCAGTGAGAAATCAAATGCCAAAATAAAGTTAAGTCTCATAAATACAAACATACTACTTATCCTACTTTCTATTTTGATCCAATCCAATCCATTTATCACAGAGCAGTCAGAAAGGTAGCTCCTATGGCAAACTGGAATGTTGGCAATGCTCTAACAGGTTTTAACGATAGAGCACTGCACTCAGAATGTACTTCATGCTCTCCTTACCCAGGCTTTAGTGCATCAAATGATCTACCTCTTGTTTACCTCTCCAACCTCTCAACTCATTATACTCTGCTCCTAGCTGACAGTGCTCAGCCACATCAGCCTTCCAATTCTGTTCCTCGAACAAGCTAAGCTCTTTGTATTTTTTGCCTCTTCATTTGCTATTCCCTCTGCCTGCAACATTCCTGCCCTAACCTTCATATGAATGGCTCCCTCTTATCCTAACTGTGAAGAGATGTACTATTAGCCCACTCTATAAAATGCATCCTGCTCCATAAGGGAAACTTCTAGGGTACTGCAAATGTATGGCGAATCTGGGTGGAGATTATGTGGTACATATATATGCAGGTAAAATTCATAAAGCTATACATTTAAAACTAATGCATTTTGCCTCCTTTGCTAAATATCTTAATAAAAACATGGGAAACTGAGTCAGGCATGGTACACATCTGTGGTTCCAGCTACTTGGGAGGCTGGGGCAGGAAGATTGCTTGAGCCCAGGAGTTCCAGTTTGTAGTGAGCTACGATTGGCCTGTGAACCTGTTAACAGTTACTACATTCCAGCCCATTCCATTCCTTTAGAGACACAGCAAGAACCTGTCTCTAAAGAAACTGTGGGGGACAGGGTGGAGAAAGGAGCCTGGTCCTACCTCCTCTTTTATCATATCACCCTGATTTTCTTCATAAAATTATCATAATGTGTAAGTTTTGTTTATAATTGCTTTAATTCTCCTACTAGAATGTTAAGTTCTGAGAAAGCAGGGGCTATCTCAAAGATATACAGTAGATGAAAAAAAGAGTCCTCTAGCTTCGTTTTCTTTCATACCTAAATAAATCTGAAAATAATAATGACAGTGTACTGGTTGCACTGTTCTGGCCCTTTGTCAATGTCTCCTCTGTGGACCTGTGATTTGGCATGATGCTCTCCATCAGCACTTACAAACATATAAGAAATCGCCCTCTGAAAAATGCACCATTACTTACTGAAGACATGCTATTGAGTGCCTTATTCACTGTGCTCTTCTGTCTTCATTAGGGCCTAGGGTTGAAATAGCTCAGTACTACCTCTTGCTTTTTATCTAATAGAGATATCTTGTAGGTAGTGTGATTTTATAACTGATAGTATGTACTTTGCTTGAGTTGAAAAATCTCAATCAAACTGATAATTTACCTCTATGAAACCTTAAATTTCCTCTTATTTAATTTTTATTTACTCTACCTCACATTCAAATTAATTAATAAATTAATAAAAGAACATCGACAGTTCAGTTTATCAGTTGAGACATTCAGAAAGGTCTAGTTATTAGCAGTGGTGTGCTGGGAAGGTTTCAACAAATGGCTCTTTGAGAAGAGAAAAACCAACAATCCCTTGTAGTGTTTGCATAGAAACAGTAATGGCACAAATGTCAAAATGAGGGATTTACAACTAAAATTTGAAAAGTGATTTCTTAAAAAATTAAACTTTGTCCTTATTTTAAAAGGCTATATTTATAAACACAGTAAAGAAATGCTTGTACCTTTCAAAAATGAATCATCAAATTGCTGAGCTGATACTCTTTGGGGATAATTGATTCCAGCTCCCCAAGTGACTAAAGGAGTTAAAGTCTCTGAAGGATGACCAGCCCCATGGGAACCTACAAATAAGATACCAAGAATAATAAGACAAATATAGAACAACTAACTTACAACTAAATATTTTTAAATAGTTTGTTTTGAAGAGTTGATCCATATATAGTTAATTATAGTGACTACATTGCCAAATGGTTACAACCTTTTATGACAATTAGTTTGGCAATATTCCTATAAAGCAAGTTAGAGAAACAACAACAAACAGGCAAAAACTAAAACAAAAAACCAGAATGCCTGCTGAGTAACTATGTTTGAAAGAATAGAAATAATAACAATAAGACATGGAAGAAGTGTTGCTGCTGCCAGAGTAGCACTGCAGACAGGAAGAACAGAGAGCTCCCTTGGGCAGTAACCACCCAAGCTTGGGGCTAGCAGTAGAGACTTAGTCTGTTCTGGAGAAGATGGTAAGGTCTCTGGGTCTTTTTCTTCCAGGCCACTCTGGCAGGTAGAGCCAAAAGAAGTCCTTTATAAAGTGGAATTCAAATCACTAGAAATTCATATTGTGATTTGGGGACAAATTTCATCTTTGCTTTATTTTGTTCTCTGTGCACACATTGCATTTGCCTTGGGAATCTCACAGGGTGCACAGGCTTATCCGGGACAGAATTTCAGCAGCCATCGGTCCCTCAGTAATACCATCTTAACACCACTCCCTCTGCCAACATATACACTTAATTCTCTGTAGATAAATAATAGTTACTTTTTATTTTCTTCTCCACTTTCCTCTAGTTTCTCATTTGTAAATGAGAATATATTCGTTTTTTAGTTAGAGAAAATATTTTTTATATAAGATCAGTTGTTTTTTAGGCTAACATTTTAAGCACAAAATTATGTGCTAGACACTTTGTATATACCAAGACATTTAATCCTCTCAACATCATAAAATATTTGCCAGCTACATTTATCACTACTTCAATTGTAAGGTACATATCAATTAAAGACACACTAACCCCAGTCTGTCATTCCATGGTCAGAGGTAAAGATAAATGTTGTTTTCCCATCATTTCCATAGAAATGGTTAAACATAGACACAATTTCTTTAACTCCATCATCAACTTTTTTAATATTATCCTTGTAGTCTCTATGTATAAAGAAACAGAGGAACAAATTAAATTAATTTGGAGAAATCAAATGTATTCAATGTGGATTTACTACATTCAAAATCAGTAACTTCTGAAATGCTTTTAGATTTCATCGTTAATATTTTAAAATCAGAGCACTCTAGATTGTTGAAATAATTTTTTTCTCCTTTTAATGAAGCAAAATAACCCAAAATAGTTTTCAAAAATGATATAAAAGGGGACTGATTAACAAATATATTTTAATAAACCCTTTTAGGTCCTAAATGAGATAGATGACTTTCATGTCTCTCACTCTCACTACATAAACTATACTTTTCTGGCCACATTAAAAGTATCATTTCAAGTATAGAATATTTTCATTCCCTAAAGTGCTTGTGATATAAAATATAATAGCATGCTTTGAACATATTATATTTGAGATTGCCATACAACTGAACAAGGTTCTTTCGATACGAATATTCCATCAATTACAACAGTGCCTCACGTTTAAGAAAGGGATTGTGAGGTATTCATTACTGGTAGCTAACCCGATAGGCTTCATAGCAACTGTTAGGCTAATCTAAACCAAATGCAAAATAAGAAATAAGAGTATAACATGGTATCTTCCTTTTACTTGTGGTCTTCAAAAGTGAGAAAAATATTTGCTGTTATATATAAGGAGTGTTACTGAATTATGGTATACAAAAATTTATACAATTTATATGCTAGATACAATACTAATTAAACGGAATACACAAGGAATAGATAATTACATCTTTTGGTTATATAAAAGTTAATACCATAGAATGCTTTTATTTTCAAGATTCACTGAAAATATTTCTAAAATATATAGATATTTTAGATCATTTTTTTCTCTGCTTCAGTAAATGAAGACTACAGAATATGTACAGGATATATTTTACTTATATTAATGTGTCATCTGGATACAGCACATATGATTTAAACCACTACATCAGAAATCTCATATAATCAAGAACTTAATATACATTACAGTAGTTATTTAAAATATTAGCTCTGTTGTTATAATTCCAAAGAAAACATTATAATAATTTAAAAGTTCAATAGAATAGATGTTTCCCCTAAAAAAATACAATTAAACATAGCGTGCATTAAATTACCTCGAGGATGGTCGATGAGCATGTCCATTTGTATCTATTCCTAATAAATGTAAGAAAAAAACTATTTTCTCTTCATTTATTTTAGAAAACAAAGACTGGTTGTTCCTGGCATGATGAAAGAAGTCCTACATATAACAAATGAGTTAAAAATATTTAGTTCATTTGTTTTATTTTAAAAATAATACTGATGAAAACATTTAAATTTATGCATAAATACAAAATTAAATTATCTCCCGTTATTTAAATCTGTGACCTACCAACACAACGTCTTTGCCATCAGCTCAGACATCTATGTTTAATGAGTTAGCTGTTTGTTATAAGGCCAAAAAAAGGTGTTAGAAAGGGGATCATAATTTCATAGAGATCTCATAATGTTGTTAATCTCACATCTAACTTAATAAAATACAGCAGATTGAAGACATATTTTGGCAAGAGCCAAAAATAAAATAGTAATAGTGTTATCAGTTTAAGAATCATTTATTATTTTTAAATATTTCAGAACTGGACCACTTCTCATTGTCCTGCGTACTACCAACCTAGTCCAATCGTAATCTCCAATTTAGAACATTGCAAATAGCCTCCTCATTACTTCCTTTGCCCCAACTAGAATGTGTTCTTCAAATCATGTAACAGAAAAGCATCAAATTCATAAAACACCACTTGGCAGGGTGAGGCTGGGAATAATTAATTAAAATAAAATTTGAAGATTATTATGCTAATTTAATGATGATAAACTAGATTCATAAACCCTTCTAAGGCAAATGATTCACCCTGTATTCATATATGCATGAACATGGGTTCAAAACTATGAAGACTACTTTTAAATTATTTTAAAATAAGTTAACAGGCTATCTAAGATACATCTTTGTTGTTCACATAAATGCCTTTAACTGTAGAAGATGTTAACTTTTAACAAGAGATGTTTAATTTTTTTGTTTGTTTGTTTTTGTTTTTTTTTTGAGACGGAGTCTCGCTCTGTCGCCCAGGCTGGAGTGCAGCGGCCGGATCTCAGCTCACTTCAAGCTCCGCCTCCCGGGTTTACGCCATTCTCCCGCCTCAGCCTCCTGAGTAGCTGGGACTACAGGCGCCTGCCACCTCGCCCGGCTAGTTTTTTGTATTTTTTTTAGTAGAGACGGGGTTTCACCCTGTTAGCCAGGATGGTCTCGATCTCCTGACCTCGTGATCCGCCCGTCTCAGCCTCCCAAAGTGCTGGGATTACAGGCTTGAGCCACCGCGCCCGGCCTAATTTTTCAACAAAAGTCTGAAGTATTTAAGTATTTTTTTCAAATAATTCTTCATTACTATGTTAAAAAATACAAATGGTGCAATTAGAGAACTAGCTATTCAAAAATAGAAATAAATTAATAAATAATATGTAACCTGCTGTCATCTGTCTCAAAAGTATAAAATTGCCCCCTAACTTTCATATACATTCTAATTAACCCCTAAGAAAATTTAAAAACTAGATAAAAATGGTAAGTTCTTTAAGAGAAAAAAAATTAAAAGTTAAGCACATAATTGAAAGCTGACAAAAACAAAAAAACTGAGCAAATGACTTGAATTATATCTATAATTTGTTCTATGGCTGGTACAATATATTCAGCTACGTAATCCTTTCTTGGAGCTAGATGTGCCTTTGTGGTTTTGGCCAATAAGATTTAAGTCAAATATTTCAGTCTTAAAGCTATGTGGATCTAAGGCTCTTTGAAATAAATATAATTCAGTAGGAAAGAAGGTCCTTTTTTCTTCTTCATATTGTTGACCTAAAACACTAACATAAGGGCAGGAACTCCAAGGGTATCTTGAGTCATGACATAACCTTGAAGATAAAACTTACGCTCTGAGGTTAGAGGAAAACTTCAGGAGACTGAGTGTCAATGACACTGCGGAGCCAATATAGCACCCTGGACTGCATCAATGCTCAGTTGCCTACTGTTGGCATTATCTTTACTTAAGATAGAAGTAAACTTTTATTTTCTTCCCTATTACACAGGTATGGTCTAATCTAAGTTAGTATACTTATTTGTGTACCAAACAATTCCCTGATAGGGGAATTGTTGTTGTTGTTGTTGTTGTTGTTGTTGTTGTTGTTGTTGTTGTTTGAGACAGAGTCTCTATTGCCCAGCCCAGGCTGGAGTGCAGCGGCACAATCTTGGCTCACTGCAACCTCTACCCTCCTGGGTTCAAGCGATTCTTGTGCCTCAGCCTCCTGAGTAGCTGGGATTACAGGCATGCACCACCATGCTCGGCTAATTTTTTTGCATTTTTAGTAGAGACAGGGTATCACCATGTTGGCTAGGCTGGTCTCAAACTCCTGGCCTCAAGTGATCCATCCACCTTGGCCTCCCGAAGTGCTGGGATTACAGGCGTGAGCCACTCCGCCCAGCCTCGGATAGGGGTTTAAAATTAACAGTGTGAAAAAGTCAGTATCTCTGCCAACAAGATGTATATTTGAAGGGGAATATGTCAATGTATGAACAGTTATAGTATAACCCAATAAAGTATTAAGGGAATATAGAGGAGGGTTATCTAAGTCAAAGTGGAAATAGGGTAAAGCAAAGAGAAGTCACAGAAGACCTAATAAAGAAGATGATGCACGACCTGAGATTTTTAAAGTGAATAGATTCAACCCAGGTGAACCTTTGAGGCCATTATACTAAGTGAAGTAAGCCAATCACAAAAAGACATAGACTGTATGATACCACTTATGATATAAGGTGCCTAGAGTAGTCAAATGCATAGAAATAGAAAGTAGAATGGTGGTTGCCAGGGGTTGGGGGAGGGGGAAATGAATAATTGTTTGTTTGTTTGTTTGTTTGTTTTGAGATGGAGTCTCACTCTGTCGCCAGGCTGGAGTGCAGTGGCACGATCTCAGCTCACTGCAACCTCCGCCTCCCGGGTTCAAGTGATTCTCCTGCCTCAGCCTCCTGAGTAGCTGGGACTACAGGCATGTGCCACCAAGCCCAGCTAATTTTTGTATTTTTAGTAGAGACGGGGTTTTACCATGTTGGCCAGGATGGTCTCAATCTCTTGACCTCGTGATCCACCCACCTCGGCCTCCCAAAGTGCTGGGATTACAGGCATGAGCCACTGCGCCCGGCCAGAGTTATTGTTTAATGGGTACAGAGTTTGTTTTGCAAGATGAAATATTCTAGAGATTAGTTGCACAACAACATGAATATACTTAACATTACTAAATTACAGATGCTCCTCACTTACAATGGGGTTATATCCCAATAAACCCAGCCTAAAGTGAAACTACTGTAAGTCAAAAATGCATGTAATATACCTGTTACAGGTAGTTAGACAGGCATGAGTGGGGCAAGAGAGGGGTCTTCCCTAACCTACCAGGAATGTCAGGTGATGATTCAGCAATTATCACACTGCCTCTCTAAAAGTAGTAGACTGGCAGCTGGCACCAGGGAGAGGCCATTTCCTGATGGTCCACAATTGCTGCACTAAAGTGTTAACTGAATGCAAGCACCAGAGAGATGCATTCCTGGGCATGTGAATTAAGAGACCAAATGGTGTAGTATGCCCGTCAGGGGGCACTCCACCAGAAAAGGAAAGAAAGCCTCGGATGGGTGTGTGTACAACTTTCTAAACACACTGCATGCTCACCTTCCAACATTAAGGAGGGCACTGCGCATGCGGGCTCCCCACCCTACGGGAAGAATCATGGAAAAGGGCCAGCCTATAAAGTCCTAGGATCAAGATTAAACACTGCTCTTGACCTCGGTGCTCACTTCTAGGCATACTTCCCATTCTTTCCTGTTCTAAAGCTTTTGTAAATAAAATTCCACTCCTGCCTTGGTCTCTTCTTCTGCCTTATAGTCCTAGTCAAAGTTTTTCTTCTGGGGAGGTAAGAATTGAGGTTGCTGCAGATCCTTACGGATTTGTTGCCAGTAATTCAGATACCTTCTGCCAGTAACATACCTAACCTACCAAACTTCATAGCTTAGTCTGGCCTACTGTCCACGAAGAGTCAAACTCTATAAAATATTTGAAGAGATTTATTCTGAGCCAAATATGAGTGACCATGGCCCATGACACAGCACTCAGGAGATCCTGAGAATATGTGCTCAAGGTGGTTGGGGTGCAGCTTGGTTTTATACATTTTGGGGAGACATGAGACTTCAACCAAATATATTTAAGAAATACATTGGTTTGGTTCAGAAAGGTGGGACAACTCAAAGTGGGGATTGGGGGAAAATTTAAAAATTTTCTGGTTGGCAATTGGTTGAGTTTCTCTAAAGACTTGGGATCAAAACAAAGGAATGTCTGGGTTAAGATAAGAGATTGTGGAATCCAAAGTTCTTATTTGCAGAGGGACCCTTCAGATAGTAGGTTTCAGAGAATAGGTTGTAAAATGTTTCTTATTAGACTTTAAGGTCTGTGTTGAGGTTAATGCCAGAGAGGTACAATGAGGCATGTCCGACACCCACCTCCCCTCATGACCTGAATCAGCCTCTCAGGTTACATTTTAAAAGTTTTTAAAAGCGCCCTGGCTGAGAAAGTTCATTGAGATGCTTGGTGGGGTGGTGCTTAGAATTTTATTTTTGGTTTACACTACCTTCAACATGCTCAAAACATTTACATTAGCCTAAGGTTGGGCAAAATCATCTAACATAAAGCCCCTTTTTTAATAAAGTGTTGATAATGTGAGATAAGTGAGATAATAATTACTATTTCATGTAATTTTTGAATACCATACTGAAAGTAAAAAACAAAATGATTGTATGGGTACTCAATGTATGGTTTATACTAAATATGTATGGCTTTTGCACTGGTGGAAAGTCAAAAGAATCAAAAGTTAAACCACTGTTAAGCTGGGAACTGTCTGCAAACACTTAAAATGCTTAAGATAGTAAATTCTGTATTTTGCATATGTATTTTTTTTACCACAATTACAAAAAACAGGTGAGCAGAAAACTGCATGGATCTGGAAACTGTTTGGCTTGAATTAAGTATGAGTCTCTAGCCAGGATATGAAGTTCAAAAGTAAAACCCTTAACTTACTCTCTAGCCTCTTCTGAGACCTGGCTCCCAGGCAGTCCTCCTGCCACACTAACCTCCCTTCTTTCACTTCCTCAAATCCATTATGCTGACTCTTGACCAAGATTTACATAATGCTGCTGGCCTGAAATACCTTTCCATACCAATCCATCCCTACCCATTTGTCTCCTATACCTGTTCTGAGATTATCTCAAACCTCTTAGCCTTCCCCTAACTACCCAGTCCAGATTAGAATTTTCTGAAGATACATTCTTGGTCTGTATTTTTCCTTCACATCACTTACCAATGCTGATGACTTCATATTTTCATTATAACTTGATTAATATATATCTACCATATTTTATGAAGAAATCATGTGCAAATCTTTTTTTCTGTTCACTACCATGTCAAGACTAGTAGTGTTGAAATAAAGAAAGGAAGAAAGACATGAAAATCAGGCCAGCTACCAGCTAAGTATGTACATTCGCAAGGAATCAATTCCTAGCTACACATACAAAATTAGAAGCCAAAGGCTTTCATGCAGATATTAATATTAGTACATTATGTTAAGAAGTGATGATTAGCAAAATAATTTGTTAATCATTTTCTTAAAGAGATTTTATTTAAGGTGAAAGTTTTCCCTGTTGACAAAAGTATATATTAAAAGTAAAAAGAAAATTTCAAGGGAAAAGATCCTTGGAAAAAAATAGGGTTTAGCCATGAATTTTAAAGCACTCAATTTCTGCTAAGCAAATACAAAGAAAAAGGCAGATATATACTGAGGAGTACATTTACAAACAAAAATGGCTATATCATGGAGAAGTCCACAAAGTCAGTTCAAAAGACACTATTAGAAAAAAGAAGTGTCAATCAAAGCCTCTTATAATGGACGCATTATGAGTTGTTATTTGGAGATGAGGAATAATGCACTGGTAAAAGAAGAGAGACAATGTCCACAATTGAGATTTTCACACAATTTTTGAGAATATAAATTATATTGTATTCCTCATGAAACTATGATAATTGTCACTATAAAATGTTCAAAAAACTCTAGTACTTAAAGAAACCATAGATTTTTATTATGATCAATTTGCTAATTTGTTTTTGCCTATATAATCTGCTTATCTAATTTTTCTTTAAAGTATAATTTTTTTAAAAAATCATACACTTTGTTATTATAAATGTATTATATTTGAACAGCATTTTCCCAAAGGCTTTCATATATCTCACATGGTCCATTACTACAAGAGACTGATTCCAAGGTCAATGAAAGATCAAAATTTACCCAGGATGAATCACAAACTAGAAATGAAAAACAGGTTTCCTAAATCCTAATCTAGGGCTCATTTTACTAATAGAAACAAAGAAGTTTAAAACTTCTCTTGTTTATTTAGGATGTGTAATTTTTTATAATTAAATCTTAGAATTCAGAACAGTATGCTACAATATAAAACTTTTAAAGCTCATGCAAACAGAAAAAACTTGAAATACAAGTCTCCAATACTTCAGATAAAAATATGCTTTTTGTATATTAACCACTCAATAGCACAAACCTTAACATTATCAAAAACCCACGTATCCAGTTTTGTTGCATCTTGAGCACCAAAATCCTCTCTTTTAGCATCATAACTGTATGTATAAACGTGGTCTCCACTAGCACCTGAAAAGGAAATTTGGAAAAAATAATTTTTTTACAAAATCTTTTAAACTATCATAAAATATGAGATAGTCATTCACAGATTTTTGTGAGTAACCAGAATTTTCACAAAGCATTGTTCATTATGATGGGGAAGAGAAAAACGGGAGGAATAATTAACATTTATGTATATTATGTCCTATGGACCATGCTACATACTTTAACGTATTCTATTGCTTTTTGTCCTCAAAAATAACATATTTTAATTTCACAGATTCACTGTATGTTAATTAACACACCAAAATCACAACTCTAATAAGCAATATAACAAAAATAAGCACAACAGTTGTCTCCCTTTAAGGATTAAACCATTCAAAACATGTGTGCCCCTTAGAATGCTACAGTCTAAAATAGATGAAGATGTGTGGTGTACAAACCTTCTTAACATAAGAAGAAAATTCAAATATTTCACTTCTCTTATTCATAAACTATGCATATTTTTCTCAACTTATAAGAGAATAAATATTGCTTATTGCCAAAGAGTTTGAAGGGGTCAACAGATATAATAATCTCATACATTTGCAAGACTGTATTAAGAATCTAATCAGTTTAGTGAATTTCTGAGTTTAATAGGCTCTTGCAGGTAATAAGAAAGAGATATGACTAGCGTGATGGCTCACACCTGTAATTCCTGTATCTTGGGAGGCCGAGGCAGGTGGATCACCTGAGGTCGGGAGTTCAAAACCAGCCTGGCCAACATGATGAAACCCCATCTCTATTAAAAATAGATGTGGTGTGTGGTGTATGTGTGCCTGTAATCCCAGCTACTCAGGGGGCTGAGGCAGGAGAATCACTTGAACCGAGGAGGCGGAGGTTACAGTGAACTGAGATTGTTCCACTGTGCTCCAGCCTCAGCAACAAGGGCAAAACTCTGTCTCAAAAAACGAAAAACAAAAACAAAAACAAAAACAAAGAGATACAATAAACTAATACAATCTTTATAGCACCAGTTCAGCTCTAATGACTCTATTCCACAGCTCAGCCATTCTACTTCCCACATCCCAAATAAAAAGGTCTGACTGGGTTTGTTGTTTACCATAAGATATGGAACATTCCTATTAGACTATCTCTAATTCAATTATTGGTCCTGTCTCATCCATTGTAGCCAGAAACAAGAATGTTAGTTTGATAAGCCATAGCAACTTAATCTACCCTTACCACCACCAACTCCCAAAAAAACTAAACTGCTTTCCAAAGAAGGCAATATATAAATGGCAAACAGTTTGGGGCTCTTTGGTCCACCCAGTATAATAATGTTCTATGACTATCATCTGTAAAATTCTCAATATATATTTTGCTTCCTGGACACGTAATAATCTTCAATGGTTCCCATTATTTTAATTACACTCATGACTAAGTATGTTACAAATCCTTTCTGATAAGTGAAATGATCAATCATTCTGTTTCCACTTAAAAGCATTTAATGACATGAAATTCATCCAACTGATTTTAGAAAATAATATAAATGAATTTTCTAATTAAGAGATATCCCAATGTTTGCAGAATCATGCATATAAACAACAAATCTAAATGCTATATTCAATATATTAAATATCAATTTAAATAAATTATATGTTAAATGCCATCTATATTAAATGCCAAAATATATGGCATATTCAATATATTAAAATAGGAATTATAACTATACATTTTAACACTTAAATCTTTTGTTTTGTTTTTTTTTTTTTTTTGAGACACAGTGTTGCTCTGTTGCCAGTGCAGTGGCATAATCATGGCTCACTGCAGCCTCAACATCCCAGGCTCTCAAGTGCTCTTCCCACCTCAGGCACCTGAGTAGTTGGGACTACAGGCACATGCCACCACACTCAGCCAATTTTTTGTTTGTTGTAGAGATGTGGGTCTCACCTTGTTGCCCAGACTGGTCTCCAACTTCTGGAGCTCAAGTGATCCACCTGCCTCAGCCTCCCAAAGTGCTGAGATTACAGGTGTGAGCCACTGTGCCCGGCCAATGTTTAAATCTTCATATGAATATCCACTAACTTTTAAAATGATTTGCCAAAGTATAATGAACCACACCTCAACATCACCATTTATAATGAAGTTATGTGAAAAGTGCTATGCTAAATATTTCACATGAATTACATAATTTAATTCTAAAAATAAACCTATGAGACGGAAACTAATATTATCACATTTTATAAAAAGGAAATTGAAGCTCAGAGAGATTACATAAATTGCTCAAGATTATATAGCTGTTAAGTGATAGAGCCATATACCATTTAATTGAATCCAAAATACTATCTAACTGTATGATGTGCCAATATTTCAAGTATAACTAAGAAGGAAAAAAACAATGCCAATTAAACAGACACATCTATCACTGTAATTAAATATCCCTATTTCAGAAATGTTAAACATGTAAAAATATGTGTAAAAATTAACAAATACAGTATGTATATAAAAACAGAAAACTACCATATTGACTTATTCCCTATTTACTATCGGAGGAAACATAATCAGCAACTCTTACCTTTGGCAAACATAGGCAGGATATCTGGGCTTCCCCAGCTCCATGTGTATTTACTTTCATTAAAAAGAGAATCAAACTCTACAGGATTTTCCTTCCATCCTTCAGAAAGCAAGCAAGCAGTAATAGTAATATATACATGGTACAATAAGCCCCTAAAGAACTATTCTTCAAATAATAACAATTAGTCAGTGAAAAATGCAAAACTAATAGTAGATTTTATATTATGTATATTATACCACTATTTTAAAAAAACTAACAATAGATAATTTACTTCTTAATGAAATATAAAATTATTTTTGAACTTTCAAGAATAATATCTAGGAAAATTATGCTTCCATCCAACCCAAATTCTTTCAATAACACAGGATAATGAAATACTAAAGCATCATTCTGGAGTCAATACCAGTGGGTGTTCATGTCAGTAAGGCATGCTAAAACATTTGTCCAAAGTATCTCAAAACATACCTTCACTATGTGACATGATTAAGCGGTAAAGGACTAATATTTATTTGACAGATGTTTCATTTAATAAGATTGTCCAAATACACAATACCTTTGGCAACTGCGCTGACATCTTCATAAAACCCAGCTATCAGAGCTACATGACCTGGCCGAGATTCTGTCGGCACACGTGTATGAGATATGCCCCAGCTGCCTTCATGCATTATGATATTCCTAAAAGATATTAAAGACAAATAGTTAACACAGACTATGATTAGATACTCTCATATAAAGCTTTAGAAACATAAGATTATTAGAGAAGGAATCAAAAGCAAAAAAGTAAGTCAAAACTTAAGAAGGAAAGGAATCTTTCAAATTCCAGCTGAGCCCATTCCAAGCATCTACCAGCTGAATGAAGCAGCATGAATTTGCTGATGTAAGACCAAACGAAGAACCACTCAACCACGGCACAGAATCATGAAACAAAATACATGATTGTTGGTTTAAGCCACAAAATAGAGATGGCTTGTTATATAGAGATAAAACATATATCATGATATCAATGTTAAATTGCATTAGGTGTGATAATAGTATTGTGGTTATTTAAGAGATATAGGCTGAAGTGTTTGGGGTAAAGTTTGTTGCTTTCAAATTGTTAAGGAAAAAGTAATTAAAACTAGGTACATATACATGGGCACCGCTGTGGTGGGGGTGGCAGAGGGGCCAGGAGAGGGTGAACGCAATTATGAAAAAAGGTTAAAATTGTCATACCAGGTAAAGGGTATACAGATGTTCATCACATAATCCTTTCAACTTTTGTTTAGTTGAAAAATTCTTAAAATAAAAACTAAGAGGAGGGAAAATGGCTACACTCCTAATTAGGAGTTAAATTATATCCCCAAATTTGAGACTAAAACAGGCAGAAAGATTATTTTGCTAAAAGATGTCAACATTATTTAAGTTGTATCACAGTGATTTGCAAAATTTGGGGAAGAAAGCAAAACTACAAGTGATGCTATTACAGGTGAAAGGCCAGCAGAGCAATAAGTTACAAAATAGTAAACTCATCACTAACATTTTTCAATATAAATATCTGCCTCTCAATACATTCTAAAGTAAAATATTTATAACTACTGGTGTCAGTTCTTTTACTACTGACTTACCTAATAATAAAAGCAGTTTTGGTGAAATACATACATAATAAGTAAACAGTTTCAAAACCACTGGACCAAATATTAACAGAGAAATATTCTTTAACTTCTTGAGTTATATAATGAAAACTGGACTTAAATAGAAAGGGGAGGTATAAAGAAATGTGGATACTCTATTTAAAAGCATTAGTTTAGATATTGTATTTAAAAACATTAGTTTAGATCACATTTTTAAAAAACAAATTTTGAGCCAGGCTCAGTGGCTCACACCTTTAATCCCAGCACTTTGGGAAGCCGAGGCAGGTGGAAATCAGGAGTTCAAAACCAGCCTGGCCAACATGGTGAAACCCCATCTCTACTAAAGATACAAATATTAGCCAGGCGTGGTGGCATGGGCCTGTAATCCCAGCTACTCAGGAGGCTGAGGCAGGAGAATTGCTTGAACCTGTGAGGCAGAGGTTGCAGTGAGCCAAGATCGCACCATTGCACTCCAGCCTGGGTGACAGAGTGAGACTCCGTCTCAAAACAAACAACAACAACAACAAAAAACCTTTCAAAAACAGGCTTAGAAGAAGCTAGAAGATTCCTGACATTGTAAATATACAATGGCACACAACACAAAACATCAACTGTTTGAGCCCACAGAGTTTCCATAAGATCCAAAGGAGAAACAAGTGCCACCAGAAAAAGTTGACTATATTTTACCAGTATATTTTCATCATCTTAATTTTGAAATGAAGCATATTTCTCTCTTTCCTTTGGCAATTAAGAAATTCACCCAAATACTTCAATTATTTCTGAAATTTGTTACACATTTTTGTGTACTGTACTTAACCTTGGTTTGATCTTATTTTCCCACAATATTCCTCTATTGACTTGAGTCACTCTTTTATTTATTTTTATCCCTCAATATGTTATGCATCTCTTTGAGCTATCATAAATTTAGTTCTGAAAATTCAACACAGCATTCGAGTTTATCCATTCTTCTAGCTGTCAACAAATATTTGTTAATTGCCCATTATGTTATAGGAACTGGAGATAAAGTAGTGGATAAGTTCCCAATCTCATGGAACTTTCATGATTGTAAGTACTATAAAGAAAAATAAAACAGGGCAGGCGTGGTGGCTCACACCTGTAATTCCAGCACTTTGAGAGGCTGAGGTGGGCGGATCATGAGGTCAGGAGATCGAGACCATCCTGGCTAACACGGTGAAACCCGGTCTCTACTAAAAACACAAAACGCTAGCTGGGTGTGGTGGCAGGCACCTGTAGTCCCAGCTACTCCGGATGCTGAGGCAGGAGAATGGCGTGAACCTGGGAGGTTGAGCTGGCAGTGAGCTGAGATTGCGCCACTGCACTCCAGCCTGGCTGACAGAGCGAGACTCCGTCTCAAAAAAAAAGAGAAAGAAAACAGAGTAAAGTGACAGTAGGTAATGATGACAGATGAGGATGGGGGGAAGACACAACATGTTAGAGAAATTTCCTCTAGAATTTGATTTTAATCTCTCCACAACAGCATTAGAAGGCCTTTCAGGAGTTGCCACTAATCAAAAAAAGAGCAATTGTTTGTAGGCCCTTTGTAAGTCCAAGAAATTAAATATTTCTTTTTAAAGTGACTTAATAGAAGCCAAAGTTACATTAAACAGTGATATAAACATGAAAGGGCTCTATATTCTTTTACGGAAGGTTGTGTTTTTAATGTGAAGTCTATATTTTCTACTTAAACATCGTTGAAATTAGTAATTCATTAATATTTATGCTTGTCTTTATTTTGTAAAATCAGTAGATTTTTTTCTTTTTTGGTTTTTTGTTTGTTTGTTTGAGATGGAGTTTGGCTCTTGTTGCCCAAGCTGGAGTGCAATGGCGCCATCTCGGTTCACTGCAACCTCTGCCTCCTAGGTTCTCCTGCCTCAGCCTCCCAAATAGCTAGGATTACAGGCATGCACAACCACGCCCAGCTAATTTTTTGTATTTTTAGTAGAAACGGGGTTTCTCCATGTTGGTCAGGCTGGTCTCAAACCCCCGACCTCAGATGATCCACGCACCTTGGCCTCCCAAAGTGCTGGGATTATAGGCGTGAGCCACCATGCCCGGCCAGCAGATTTATTTTTTAAGAAAAAAATAATATTGTGAGTCCTGTGCCACGTTTGGGAAATTAGGACAAGTTAGCTTAAGCAGCTAAGCCTATCCATTTCAATTCGCCGTTATCAGCTTCAACAATACCAGAAATAACACCTAGGAGGAAATAAAGTGGCATCTAGTGCTGATCCATAAGACAAAGGCAAATGTGCAAGTGCCCTATTCTCTTTCTCATCATCACCCCTGTGCCCAGTATATGATAAACAGCAAGATATTTTGCAGTTGACTTAACTCAGAATAACATTTGAAGAGATGTCTCTTATGAGTGTACATGCTTACCTAATAAACGGTGCTCTAGAGGTCCCATTTTCATCTAATTCGTAAAGTGTGTCTGCTCGAAGGCCATCAGCAACAAACAACACTAATCTTCTCGCTGGAGGGGGCAATGGTGTAAACTGAGGAGTCATTCCATGAACCAAAGGAGATGTAAAATAAATGTCAAAGATGGAGGCGAAGAACACAAAATGTATAAGCAATCCCAAAGTAAAGAACAGCAGCATATCCAGTGTAACTAGTCTTCAAGGACAGCTGAAAGAGGGAACAAAATTAAATTGGGGTAAATCTTAATGCAATCATATGTATTTTCACATATTTTGATGATTACAAGTAGATTAAACATATATTTTTAATTATTGTATAACTCGCAACTTTACTTTCATTTGTGGTGGTAACAATAAGCACTATTTAATAATGTGACATAATACTGAAATCAAATACATAATAAAGTACATCCAAGCAAAAAGAAAAAGTTCAAGTATAATAAGTAATTGGGACAAATAAATTATAATGAATTTAAGTCCATAATAAGCTCATAAAAATTAACACAGAACCAAAGAACAAATAAATAATTAAATCAGTCCTAAAAAGAGTTAGCGTTCAGCCAAGTCAAATCGTACAAAAAGAAAATATAACTCGTGCAACTCTTGGTTGTCCATATGACCATCATTACCAATAAGGGATTTTTAATTATTTAAATCAGTTATAATTATTTAGATGTTTGTGCATTGATTTAAATTATTCAAATATTTGTGATTTTTTCTTCTTACTTTGATAATCAGCTCAGGGGTATTCTGGCTCTCTTGACTATTACCACATTAAGCAGGAAACGTGCATTCTATCACATTTGACAGAATCATATGAAGTTAAATTTCATCTGTGCTTCAGAAAATCTGTACTTATTAAAGAATCATTTTATTTTAGTTCCCTGAATCAATCAAAAAGGTTACATTTTGTCCACTCAATAAAAATGTTTTGTGCATACATCACATGCATAATTGGATGCTGGGGTACCGTAGAGAATATCCAGTTCTCTGTAAGTTCATCACAGAGCTGATGAACTTACAAATACTTAAGGAAGAAAAACAAAGCAATATGAAACATTTAAATAATACTGTAAAAGAAGATACCAATGGAACATGGGAGTGTTTTCCAAGCCAGTCTGTAATTTGCTATTGTTGGTGAATCTCTGCAGGTCAAGGAGAAAAAAAAAAAAAAGTATTGGAACTTGTCTTACTTGTAATGTAACGGTATTAGTTACATATAGTGATCCTAGACTGAAAAACACCAAGGATAAGGTAATTTTAACTACAGACACATCTTTTTCTTCTTGGCCTGAAGAATCACATCATGGAAGGAAAGGATGGCAAAATACCTTGCAAAAACAAATGAAACCTTGGAAAAACACTCATCAAAGTCAAGCAGATTATAAAAAAGAAAATATGATAGAGCAAAAGGTCAAATTACAAGCCACTTATTTTCTGAGAACCAAGGGTCAACTAAATATCAAAGATATTCTACGAAGTACAAAAGTTCCTTAGTGAGTAGATGCTATTTTGCATCTCATAGCTAACCGACAAAGAGAATCTTTACATGTTATATAGCATATTCCCTCCCCTCTTTGGTGCTACTACAAATCGTTCTATTTTCTGAGGCAGTTTAGAATAATAATCACTATACTTAATTTTTTTAAAAAGTAAACTTTATGTATTTTTACTAAACAACCTAATGAATATTAAATGCTAAACTATCAATGTGAATGCAAAATAATTCTGAATATATTTGTGTTATTTTCTTAAATATATTCTCAATGTAGAATTAAAGATTCAATGATTGTGAAAAATTCTTCAAATTTCCAAACCAATTTAAAATTCCATTAAAAACGTGTAAATAAATGTTTACCCAAATCTGAAAGTTCTGAACATTGACAGTAATCTTTTTAGTGCGTCAGTCATATTACGGTACTTTAAATTTATATCCGTTTTTATTTGCTTGCCTGCTAGCCAGTAAGGGTGTGTACTGATTTCCTAGTTACAGTTTTTCATGGCTTGCTCTTTTGTTTTGATTATTATAGTAGAGCTCTTTTAGACATTAGACCTTTTCTACTCTAGAGACAACACAGAGGTCCCAGTGAAAAAAGGACTATGGTACACCTAATAATAAACCTGACCCAGTTGTATTTTCCTGTTGGAGATAAACTTTATTACGTTATTTTCAAAGCTAATATTTGCAGGGTGTTCTGGTCCCCGAAGAAACCTAGATTAGTTACCTTTGTGGCACATGGTATTTTTTGTTTTCAATTTTGTTTCAAGAGCATTTTGTTGAGCCAACTACTTAAAATTCCCTCAGAGAATACGAAGAAGAAATGCAAAAGTATCTATATCTAAATTTACCCTCCAGGTTTATCATCATCTGTTTAAAAAGATTTAGCTTCTAAGGAACATCTATGTTCAAAATTATAGGTCTCCAAAGGCTATAACTCACCTCACTTTGCCCAGGACTGAGACATAATACTGTTTCTAGAACATAAAACATTTTTAAAAATTGTTTAAAAATTCACATAACATTCACCATTTTAGACATTTTAAAGCACAGAGTTCTGTAGTGTTAAATATATTCACAGTGTTGTACAACCAATCTCCAGAACTTTTCATCTTTCAAAACTGCAACTCTATACCCATTAAACAACTCTCTATTCCCCCCTGCCCTAATGCTGGGGAACCACTGTTCTACTTTCTATTTCCATGAGTATAACTATTCTTGCTACTTCATACAAGTGAAATTATACGGTATTGTTCTTTTTTGATTAGCTTATTTTACTTAGCATAATGTCCTCAAGTTTCATCCATGTTGTAGCATATCAGAATTGCCTTCCTTTTTAAAACTGAAATCAGACCATTGCATGTATATACCACATTTTGGCTATCTAGTCACTTATTCATAGACATTTGAGTAGCCCGCACCTTTTGGTGACTGTGAATGATACTATGAACATGGGTACACAATCAGTTTTGTTTTAAAATAAACATTGGATATTGATCAGAGGCAGTCATGTAGATCACTTAATTACAAGAAGCTGGAAAATATGGAAAACTGAGGAAATATATGGTAAATATCACTGTCTCTGCTGCAGACATATTTTTACACATATTTCATACTATAATATATAACATAATGTATTAGTCCATTTTCACATTGCTATGAAGAACCACCTGAAACTGCGCAATTTATGAAGAAAAGTGGTTTAATTGACTCACAGTTCCACAGGCTTAACAGGAAGCATGACTTCGAGGCCTCAGAAAACTTACAATCATGGCAGAAGACAAAGGAGAAGCAAGCACACCTTACCATGGCAGAGCAAAAGAGAGAGTGAGCAAAGTGGGAAGTGCCACAAACTTTCAAACACCCAGATCTCATGTGAACTCACTCACTATCAGGAGAACAGCAAGGGGGAAATCCACTCCATGATTCAGTCGCTTCCCACCAGGTCCCTCCCCCAACGCGTAGGGATTACAATTCGAGATGGGATTTGGGTGGGGACGCAGAGTCAAAGCATATCACACAGCAATATATACATTACGTTGATTATTATCACATATAATCATTATTATGTATATGTTAATACATATATTAATTACACTGGCTGAATGTAGAGAGCAGATTGTAGTAGGTAAAGAAATGAATCAAGGAGACTGTTGGAAAGCTAGTTAGTATGTAAAATAGGTCAAGAAAGAGATTATTGTTGATTAGTATAAATTAGTGCAGTGGAAGTTAACAGAAGGAAGTTGATGACTGAGTTATACTTTGGAGGGAGATGAGGAAGGCTGCTATGGTTTGCGCTTTTCCCCACCAAAAGGCATTCATTTTCACCACAATGAAATTTGACCCCATTGTGGCTGTGACGGGAGGTGGGGCCTTGTGAGAGGTGTTTAGGTCACTGGTTGGATCCCACATGAATGCGCTGGTGCTATTCTCACAGCACTGAGTTCTCACTCTGGAGCAGAGGGATTAGTTCTCCGGGAATGGATTAACTCACGTTCTCACAAGTGGGCTGTTGTAAAGTGAGGTTCCTCCTCCTGCTCAGTCCCTCTTCACACACGTTCACATCCCCTTTGTTCTGCTCTGCAATGTTATAACAAAGCACAGAAGCCCTCACCAGAAGCCCGGTCCATGCCCTTTAACTTCCTTGCCTGTAGAACTGTGAACTAAATAAACCTCTTTTCTTTATATGTTACCCAGTTTCAGTATTCTGTTATAGCAACACAAAACAAAGACCTGGGGCTTCAATAAAATAATATGGGTAAAGAGGTAAAAAATGACTTCCAGATTTCTGGTTTGAGCATGTGAATGGTCTTTAACTTGCAGAAGGAAAAGATTTCCTTACAGGACATGGTGGGACGTAAAGCTGAGGGAGAAAGTATTGAGCATTTTCTTTTTGATATATTAAATTTAAGCTCGAGATGTCATAATAAAAAGGCAGAGAGTTGCTGTGAAACTCAAGAGAGGAGTTCCTAACTACAAGAATGACCTAGAGAAAGCCACTACTAGAGACAGAAAAAAATTAGCCAGTGAAGTAGAAGGAAAACCAGGAGAGGGGCCCTTGAAGTTAAAAGAACAGTGATTCAAGTGTGAAGGGTGTGGTTAACTGTTAGATCCGCTTAAAGGCTGGAGTAAGGACAGTAATGAGTAATCTGGGAGCTTGGAGTTCTTGTTAACTTTACTGAGAAGTTTAAACAGTCATGTGAGCTGAGTCCCATTAAAGTGGTTGTTTGAAAAGTAAATGGGAGGTGAGGGAGTAAGAGTGGAATGAGCGCAACTCTTTGGGAGAATACTAACTTTGAAGAAAAGAAGAAAAATAAAAATTGATGTAGGGTCAGTAAAGGGTTTTCCTAAGCTATTAGAGACTAGAAGATTTGTGCGCCGAGGAATAATTTAGAATATAGAAGGATATGAATGATGCAGCAGAAAGCTGGAGTTAAATTCTCAGGATACCAAGAGGGGATGGAATGGAGAGCACAAGTGGAGGAGCTGGGCTACTCTGAGTTTGCGCAGGACCTTCTTGCATTTAGCACTGAAAGTCTAGCAGCCAGGGAAACGTATTGGTTGCAGGAAAACTATTATTGGGCTCTGGTTGGCTCTACCCTGCAGCAGGTTTCTTCTCGTCTTTCACGCACCTTCTCAAATATCATCAACTAAAGGTTCCTCTGATCACTCTGAAGTAGGCCCCTCCTCCATCTTCTTTGATCCAAACA